GTGAAAAACAGCTGGGAAAATTAGAGATTTCCCATTTTGTTGCTTTGAAGTTAGATAGGTAAGGTGGCAAGAGAATTTTGTGGCTTCACGGAGAACAGAGCCTGGATGTCGCAGCTCCCAACCTAGCATTCTGACTTCCTATTCCACTCTTGCAGTGACATCTTGTTGCTTCCCCCACCCCCACCCTCCATGACCCCGTAAAGTAGTTTTGGCCGTGAGATGATGGGTCACCTGCGGTTACAGGGCTGAGTTTCTTAGCTAGAGTTTAAACCCGTTCTCCAGGATTATAATCCTTACGCCTTGAGCAGCCTTGCCCTAACTGTAAGCCTTTGGGTTCTCTTGGCCTCCGACTCCCATCATCCCCATCCAGCGTGGCCAGAATAGCGGGGAACAATGGGGCTTATCGTTTGGAAGGCGGTTGGGAAAAGCAGCCTACTATGGTCTCCCCCCTCCCCATTTGATTGGAGAGAGCAAGAGAGAAAGTCACTTGTCCGGTCATTTCGAAAGGCAGGAGTTTTCATAAGTATGTGAGTCTTTGGAAGAAAGCAACGTCTTTCCACATATCTGATGCCAGGAGTTCAACCCTTCCCGAGCTGCTGCTTTGTTCTGGGGCCACGAAATGCTTGATAAGACAAAGACTTCAAACGAAGAACCCGGCAATCAAGCCGTATACAGGGTGAACACCCTTGTCTGTTCCAGAAAGAGATTTCTGAAATCTTCAGCCCTGTTTCAAAGCTGCCGGCCTCCGTGTTCTCTCTGCCTGCCCTGTTGCCAGAAGACGGGGGAAAGCAGGTCGAAACCTTGGCCCGCCTTACAGGGGAGAACGCCAGGTCCTTGTGTTTCTTATCTCCAGCTGTGTTCCCGGAACATCCCCGGGACGTCCTTCCTCGGGGAAACCCAGCCACGCACATTGCTGGAGGTTGTTCGGGTGAAGCGCGCAAATGTACTCATGCCTCTTACACTTCGTTTTTAATTTCTTCTGCTTCTCTTATACCCATACTTCCAAGGGCAGAGGCGTTGGTGAGCAGTCAGTTTGTCCCCACGAATGCGACCTTTGCCGTCTCTTCTCTAGCAGCCTTGGGTGAACTTTTGTTCTATTTTTCTGTTCTCCCCCCCCCCTTTACCCCTTGCAAGAGGTGGAGAAAGTCCAGGTTTAATGGGGTTTATGTAAGAGGTTTGGCAGGTGTATTAGGTAACGCAACCTGAAACCTGTGGTCAAACTCTGAACAAAAGCGTAAAAAGGGGGTTGGATTTCTCGCGGGCCAGATTGAAAGGAAGGTCCTTCCCAAAAGCTCCATGGTGAGGATTTGGGCTTCTAGAATGCCAAACCCTGCAACCTGAGAGCCGTAGGGTGTTGTGATTGCCGGCGACCTGGTTATTCAGGTTTCGGATGGGTGTCTTTCTTCTCTTCGGGTTCAGCCCGATGGTTTTCTTCCTGTGGGTGCGGAGAGAATGCCGGCCATTGTTCTGAAGTTTGAGAAACCGCAGGGAAAAAAAAAACCCACAGCAGATAGTAAGAACCTCCATATCCAGAGAGAGGCTACCTGGGAATCCCAGGCATTTGGGGAACAGCAGGAAGGGGCGGTGTTGCTGCCTTATGGGCTTATGAGTGGAAAGTTTGCTGCTCTGGCAGCCAAGAAGCAGGACCTTCTGATCTTGACTGCACTTGGAACCACTAAGAAAGTGAGGTTTTCAAGTCAAAAACAGCCAGAGGGCCATGTTTTCCCGACTGTCGGCTTATCACTCCCTTTAGATCAGACTCTGATTTTTTAAAAACACAGACCTTATCTGGTCATTATCGCCTGTTTGTGAATTTATGGATAGCAGTGGTTTAGGCATCTGGGTGCGGAGCCACTGATTAAGATCCTGGCGCTTGTATTCCTTGCCACACACCAGTTGTGTGACTTGACACATGACCAGAAGTAGGAGCTTTGACAGATTACTTCTTGGCACTTTGCTGCGGCAATTCCCCTGGGTATACGTGATAGGATCTTGGCCGGTCTTCCCTCATTTTAAAAAAATATATTACAGCTCATCTATTTTTTTTAGCTGCCTTTGTTTTATAAGGCACCTTATGTCCTGCCTGGAGGAGGCAGTCATTAAATAAATAGTTTAATGATATTATTTTTGTCCTGCCTTGGTTAATAGCAGCAGTGTGACGCTTTACGCTGACTCTCCCTGGATGAGTACCTTCAAGGTAAATAGAGTTATAACTTCTCTATCATTATTATTGATATTTTCATGATTCACGTGGTAGGAAAAGCATTTCTGATGAAATGGATTCGGGGGACCACATTGCCTTTTCTATGATTGCCCTCAGCAAGCGAGGCTGGTTGTGTTAGTCTCCGGGAAGGGCAGGGGGAAATCCCTAAGGAGTCCAGTGGCGTCTTAAAAACCTCCTGGGGTTTTCTTGAGCCCTCGCTTTGCTGGGCCGTGGTGGCCGATGGACGCTGGTCCCTGGTTAAAAGTCCTCCGGGGTTTGAATAGGGCACGGCCAGAAAGCACCGAACTTACAAAATAATGGCCGTGTGGCAACAGGGGTGACGTTGTTGGTTGTCATAGTGTGTGTGTGTGTGTGTGGGGATTCCACGTGTTTTTCTTTCCAAGGCAAAGCCTTGTCTTATTGTCAAGATTACACGCATGCCGAGCTTGGTGACTCCCTCTCTTTTTCCCCCCTTCGGAAGGGGGCTCCGGCTTTTTGAACAAAGTGCTCCCCATTCCAACGGGTCTCAGCCAGTGAAGCCAGTGGATATTGGCACTGGGATAGGCCAAAATCAGATGAGACAATCTGTGTGTTTTTTGTGTTGTTGTTTTTTTGTAGAGCTTGCACGGACCCTTGCTTCCCTCCCTCTGCTTTTTTCTTTTTGGCATCTAGCAAGATCAAGCGTTCTGCGCCGCTTGAAAGGTGACATGTTTTGTGCATTTCCAGTTGATCCTAATAAAGATATTGCCCACCCGCAGTCTTGAGATTTTATTTGTCTTTTGAAGTACAGTAATGAGTTCCAGGGCTGTTAGCTGAATTACTATTATAATTGCACCGATAGTTTATTACTATCATAGTTGCAATATTTAAAAAACAAACAAACACATAGTAGCAATTCTGTTGCAACTCTTATGATGTAGCTACCGTATTTATTTCCTTCTTTATCAAAACATTTGAAATTGTTGTTCTTTAATTACTTCAAGCTGCCTCTGAATGTTACGTGTTATGGATTGGGGGCGGGAAGCAAACTTGCTAATTGATTTAATTTAGGATTTAATTGTTTAAATTGGATTTTTAAAAATTGAATCAGTTCAACTGTTTAAAAATGCGTTGATTTTTAATCCACTCCGTGGGTGACCCTAAGAACGAGCGATCACCAAAACATCCTGTCTTCAACAGCCCTGCTTAGTTCTTGCAAACCCAACCTTGTGGCTTCCTTAGGAAATCAGTCCATCTTGTATTAGACCTTTCCTCTTTTCCTCCTGCCTTCCACCTCTCCCAGCAAGATTTTCCAGGGAATTCGGCCTTCTCGTGATGTGCCAAAAGCAGGACAGCCTCACTTTCACCATTTCTTGCTTTTAGGGAGAGTTCAGGCTTGATTTGATTCAGGACCCACTTATTTCCCTTTCTGGCCGTCGTGAGCTTCTGCAAAACTCTCTTCGTATCCATGATTTCAAGCAAATCAGTTTCATTTCCTGGAAGCTTTCTTCACTCTCCACCTTTCTCAACCATGCACGGTAATCGGAAATGCTTAGTACAGAGCCGCTTCTAAACGGGGGGATCATCTATTTCCCCTGGGCTGCGCTGCGCTACACACTCTCTCTGATTTCAGTGGGTTTGCTGTCCAGAGATGATGATGAGGAGCAATCACGAGGAGTTCACCAGGGTTGATACATTTCGCAATCATTTTGGTGGTATTTGCCAAAGGGAACATTTTGTCTGTACTCATTTCCCTTCCTCGCCGTTGTATTTCCTCTGAAGTCTACAGATCTGCTCCGTCTCCCTTCCATAGAACTCACAGCAAGATTCGGTGAAGGCAAACCAAGCATTCTTGGGTTGGTAAATTGAAATGTCCATGAAACATTGGGGGAAAAATATAAATGGGTGAAGTCAAACATTCTAACTTCTGGACTCTCTTTTCAGGATGTCTTTGTGGGGTTAGGATGTGTGTCTTTGCTTCTTTTGAAGACACATCCTTGTGTGTGTTTGCATGTTCGGGTTTGCGCCTCTTTCTTCTGTGGACTTAATGCTGGCCGGCGCCCACATGCCAGTTTGTTGATTCCTCCTTGAACGTTACATCTTCGGTGCAAGAGAACAAGGCATCGTAGTCTTGGGCTTTGGTTTGTTTGGGGTTTTGATCCGAACTTTCAGCTGCTAGTTTAGAGTGTTTTACGTTACCACTTCACGGTGGGATGCCTTCCTGTCAAGTTGGGTTGGATGAAATCTACCAACTTAGGGGTGTTGTAGGTAAACAACAGCCTTTCGAGTCCCTGCCTGACATGGTTTGGAGCCTGTAAGCCATGTGCGTCTTTCCTGCCCCTTTGGATGACCTGTGTATTTCTTGAGGGTCTTTCGCTCGTCCCCTGTCCTTCCTCACTGATGCTGTGATTCGCCTCAACGAAGCCGTGCGAAAGGCAGAAGATTGTAAGGATTCCAAGGCATTCTGAGCTTGCACCTGTTTCTGTTTTCTCTTTGAGCGAAAACGAGGAAATTTGGTTAAGGAAAGCCACTGTTTTCACCAAATCTCCCCACCCTCTCCCCTGAGTAGAGAGATCAGCATCCTTTGTGTCAATAGAGGTGGTTTGCTAACTCCAATCTAACCCAGAGGGAATGATCTATGCCATGCTGTCTCCACCTCCTGGTTTCCTCCCCTCAAAGCAACTCTGTGCATGCTCAGAGAGATCTGTTTTTGAAACCGTGTCACTCGCTTCTCCCACTCCCTAGTGTTTCAACTCCAGCCGTTCTCTGTTGACCGAGCTTACTGACCATCATCCTTCCCTGTTCTCTCTCTCCCCAGTCTCTCCATCGCCATGGGGTCTGCCTCGTCCAAGGATGACACCCCCTCCCCCCAAACCCCGGAGGCTTCAGCCGCCTTCAGCCTGACCGACATCTTCCTTTTTTCCATCATCATCGGCCTCCTGACGTATTGGTTTTTCTTCCGCAAGAAGAAAGAGGAGGTCCCGGAGTTTGCCAAAATCCAGACACCAACAACGTAAGTGGCAGAGAAGCATGGTGGAGGAGCGGTGGTTGTGGTTGTTGTTGTTGTTGTTGTTGTTGTTGTTGGAAAAGGTGACTCATAGGCTGTTCAGGGGATTCTGGGTGTTGTGGTCCTTCGGGGGGAAAAGAATTCTCCCGAGCTTCGATTTGGCTTTACCCCTGCTGTTATGGGGCTTGTTTGTTCAGCATCTGCTGGCTTTGGAGAAACAAATGCCTGGAAGAGAAGCTGCAGATACCTCAAGAATTGTAATAACGGAGGGTTCCCTCAAGGATATCTAGACCAACCCCTGCCAACTCAGGAAATACACAGCAGTGGGCTTGCTTATTAAAGCGCACGGTACAGATTTTCCCTGTTCTTTGTGTCTCTGGAAGAACTTGCTTTTTCTCTGAGAGTATCATTTTTATTGATACTTGGTCCCCTTTTAAATTTCTGCGCCCTGACACATGGAGTCCTGAGGTAGGACTCCATGCTTTTCCTGGTGTTTTGGTCCTGCCTCTCCCATCAGCCCTACCTGACCAGGTGAAGCATTATGGGAGTTGTAGTTCTAAACATCTGGAGGGACAAGCACTTTCTCCAGCAATTGAACTGACCCTGGGGGGGGGGGCAGGAACCTGCAATGTCCTTCTCTAGATGTTTTAAAATTTTGTTCTGTTGCTTTATATAGGAGGACCCCCGTATCCATGGGATCAGTATCCACTGATTCACTTATCTGAAAATATGAACAATATTAAAAAAATCCTAGAAATAATATATTTCTAAAGGTGAAATTACTGGAACTGACCACTAGAGGGAGGCAGAGACTATGCTTTGTACAGTATGGCATTCTTTATTGAAATAGTGTTTGCTATAATATGCGTATTTCAGTATCCGCAGGAGGCTTGCCCACAGATACAGAGCCCTGCTGCACTATTTTATTTCTTTATTAGCTTTCGACTTCTCTCACTCTTCTTCAGTTTGTTCATAATTTTAAAATTATAGTGAGATTTATAGGCAGCTGGCTTTGAAAAACGTGGTGCACATCAGAGCCATGTTTTAAAGAGATCTTCTTCCTGCTGTTTTCTCTCTCCTGGATGACCGTGTCAAGAAAGAAAGTGGAAAATATCAGACGGTGGGGGTAAACAGATGTTCTTAACATGGTTGCCCCCCCTCTTGCCAGCTGTTTTTCCCTGCCAGTCCTCCGGGTCTGAACAGATCATCTCCATCCTTCTTGGGACCCAAAGGTGGGGTGCAGACCGTCTGAGATTCAGTCCAGGCTCCGGCTCCCATCTGACTTGAGCAAGATCTCTTCTGCGGAGTTGCAGAATCGGATCTTGGACCTTGCAAAATGTCCAGGCTCTGAGTTGGGTTTGGGACCCCCAAACAGAAACCAGGTGTGCCCTGGAGGGTGCTTTGGCTTTTTAAAAAGCATCCTCATGTAGGCATCCTTCAGTCTCGAGCTGAGATTCAGTCCAGGCTCCGGCTCCCATCTGACTTGAGCAAGATCTCTTCTGCGGAGTTGCAGAATCGGATCTTGGACCTTGCAAAATGTCCAGGCTCTGAGTTGGGTTTGGGACCCCCAAACAGAAACCAGGTGTGCCCTGGAGGGTGCTTTGGCTTTTTAAAAAGCATCCTCATGTAGGCATCCTTCAGTCTCGAGAGACTATGGTATCGTATCGTGTAGGGACCCCCAAACAGAAACCGGGTGTGCCCTGGAGGGTGCGTTGGCTTTTTAAAAAGCACTTGCATTAAAAAAGGGAGGGAGTGTTCTTTGCTTTAAAATTATATAGGGAGTTATTCTTTTCTTTAGAACAGGGGCTCCCAACCTTTTTTGAGCCGTGACCCTCTTTTATAATAGCCAAGTAACCTATGGACTCTCTCCTCCCCCCCCCCGGGCACATTTGTATTAAAAGGGATTTTCAATGGGGTACAAATAATCTCAGAAAGTAGAGGCTTCTTTCTCCCCCAGAGAGCTTGTTTCTTACACATAATTTACACACTAACTTTAATATCCCACTCTGAAAGGTCAAGAAAGAAATTATTAAACAAGGGATCCGACACCTATAAGGTGACTTGTGACACACACACACACACACCCTGAAAATATTTTACAGTCCCCTTGGGAGTCAGAACCCCCAGGTTGGGAAAGATTGCTTTAGAGGATAATGACATTATCAAAACTTTTGTCAATTGAAACATACTTGTTTTTTGCCTGTAAAAGGGTGTGTGTGGGGAGGTGTCTGAAGGATGCAGAATTGCTGCTCTGTAGTTTAGTCCGAACTTTCTCCCTTGCCTTGCTCACTTCAGGACTAACCGTCCCTGAAGTTCTGCTCAAATACCTCTAATAAAAGTGTGCCTGCTCCTTCCAGTGGCGGTCAGTTCCACAGGCAAACAGTTCCAGCCGTTAGCCGCATTTTCCATCGTTTGGTGTCCTTCTCCAGCTTTTGCCCCCAAGGGAGCGGACGTTTCCGAGGCTTGGGGCCAGAGAGTTAACGCTGAAAATGGTCTGTATGGAATTGGTTGTTGATGGGGTTGTTTTTCCCTTGTAGGAAGGTAATTTCAAGCTTTCGACAGGAAAAACTGGCTTCTGCAATCACAGGCAAATAAAGGCAACTTGGCTGCCCCTGCTTTGCATAACTGCAGTAATTAGGCTTTATGCAATCCTGTATGGAGATTGTTTTTTTAATGATAACAAGAGGAGAGATAAAGAGCAAGGGGAGGGATTCAAACCAAGCTCCACCCCGGCTGGGATGGGAAAGGAGCTCCCTTGCAAATAGCAGAGCCCTCCCCCCCCCAAAAAAAAATCTCTCAATTGTGGTCAGGGAGTCCTTTTTCTAAAAGAGGCCCTGGGAGGACTTTTTAAAGCAGGGTGGGGTGTAAAGAACATTTTGCAGTCTCCTGCAACTCACTCCCATTTTGGAAAAAAAAACATCTTGTCAATGATTGTGAGTTAGCCTAGTCAAGCAGGTCAGAAATGGGGCTTCAGATCCGAATCACAGAGTCAAATAACTGAGTCAGAAGGGGCCCTCGAAGGCCATCCAGCCCAACCTCCTGCTCAAGGCAGGAGTCCAGATCCGAGCGGATCGGACGGAGGGTGGTCCCGTTTTCCCTTAAAGGCCTCCGGGGTTGAAGCACTCACCTCCTCATGAGGTCATGGATTCAATTGTCATACTACTCTAACAGTTAGGAAGTTTTTTTTTCTCCCCCTGATATTCAGGCAAAACCTGGCTTCCTGTCACTTGAGCCTATTTTGACGTCTCTTGCACTCTGGGAGGATGGAGAACGGATCCTGCCCCTCCTCTGTAGGACAGCCTTTCAAGTCTTTGAAAAGGACTGTCCAATCCCCCCCTTCAGTCTCCATTCACCGGCTGGGCTGGGCGAAAGTTTCAGCAGGCCCAGCCGGGTGGCCGTCGGACAGCTAATGAAAAGCAGAAAAGTTGTTGTTCTGCCAAAGCGTGTAGAGCAGAATGTGACAAAATTCAAGAACTGGGCCGAGCGAACACGGCGGAGACCGCTTGAAACCGCTTTCCCTCCGTGTGAGATTACAATTGCTATTTCACTTCTTACTCCAGTAGGAATGGGGGAACCCATGGCATTCCCCACAATATAGGACTACAAGTCCCATCAACCTTCACCATGGGCTGGACGGGCTGGGGCGGGTGGGGGTTTCAGCCCTGCAGCCCTGGGCTCTGCGTGTAAGTCTGAGAACTTGTTTTCCACCCTTGTGGTTTGTCACGGTTCGTCGTCATGGCAGAACAGGCAAAAATCTGGCTTCACTGATGTGGTTCATCTTTATTTATTTAATGTATTTTTTACCCCTCCTTCTCCTTAAAAGAGGAGCCAAGGCAGCTGACATCCTTCAAAGACAACAATAAAAGCTTGAAAACAGCCAGTAGGCAAGGGTCAAACAAATGCTGCTCTGAAAACGGAAAACAAAAGCAACAGCAGGAACTCATTCAAAGCACTAAGATGCAAGAATCCATTAAAAAAAAAACCCTATGTAGGAAGCCAACCATTAAGGGGAAGGCTTGCTTGAAGAGAAAGGTCTTTGCCTGCTAGTGGAAGGACACAAGAGGGGGGCCAGCTTGGCCTCTAGTGGCAGGGAGTTCCAAAGTCTGGGAGCAGCCACTGAGAAATTCCTGTCCCTTGTCAGTACCAAATACACCTGTGAAGGTGGTGGGACCCTCTCACCACCCTCCTCTCCATTTGAAAGTCTTTCTGGGAACTTCCAACCCAACCGTAATTCGTATTATTGACACCAGGCTCGGAAAGGTTACACCGGGAGGGGGGAGCGCCGATCCCAGACCACTTCCTAGCCAGCATGATTGCTGGAGTTTGGGAACTGCCGTCAGAAATTGTAATTTTCCCGGTTCTCTTCCCCTCTGCTGTTCATACTAGTTGTGGGTTTTTTTTGGGGGGGGGGAAAGCTGAGAAAACATGTTTCATGGTCCTGTTTCCCCCCAAATATTTGAAACTCACCGATGTCCGAGAGTGGATCTCTAAGTCACAATCTCTCCGGAGTTCTGGGGGTACCATTTTTGAGTCCATTGGATGGTGAGGAGTGGTTGCTGCAGAAAATGTTTTTGGACCTCCCCGTTGCCATTTTAGGGGCAAAGTACCACAGATGTGGTGGAAGTGCTCAGAAATAGAGAGTTTTGGGGGCGGGGGAAAAGGTTTATTTGGGGGTGTGTTTTTTGGTGGAAGAGTGAAGGGGCTTGCCAAAACACTGTGCCAGTTGTGTGTGAAAAGACAGCAAGAAAGTTTTTCTCCGTTAAACGAGCAGTTTGTGGTGTCCGAAACCCTGGAAGAAATATAGGAAGTTGCCAGTAAGGCGTAACTTGGAATTAATGCCTTTCCCTGATAATGATGGTGTAATTACCATGCCAAGAGTTGATTTCATCACTTTCCTGGCATAATGATAAGGTTCGGTTCACTTTTGCCTTTACTGGGGTGCGGCACCACTAAATAGTGGAGGAGGAGGATCACATGGATTCTGCGCCGGCTCATGTTCGGTTGTG